CTGGTCAGTGCCAACCTAGGCTGCAGGGGTTTGGTCAGTACAGACCTGGTCATCTGGAGCTTAGTGGTGGCCTTGTAAGCATGGGCTTGGTCACTGGTGACCAGGTGAAGGGGTGCTATTCAGTGGAGGCCTGGACACATGAGACATAGTCAGCAGAACCTGCTGGGCATGTCCTCATCAGTGAGGCCCTTGTCAGTGGGGCCCTGGTCAGGACAGCCTGGTAAGTGGAACCTAATCAGTGGGGACCTGGTCAGAGAACACTTGGTTAGTGGTGGCTTTTGTAGCACTGGTCTAATCAGTGGTGACCTGGTCAGCGGGGAGCTGAGCAGTGGGTGCCTGTTTAGTGAGGCCTACTCACTAGGGTCCCAGTCAGGGTCATCTGGTCACCTCAGGCCTGGTCAATGGCAGCTTGTTCTCTGGAGGCGTGGTCAGTGTGGCCTCATCTGTGGGGCCAGGCAATGGGGTCATGATTGGTGGAACCTAATCAGTGGGCATTGTCAGTAAGGACCTCATCAGTGAGGCTTTGTCAGTAAAGACCTGGTCAGTGAGGCCTTGTCAGTGAGGCCTTGTCAGTAAGGTCCTGGTCAGTGGAATCCTAGTCATTGTGGATCTGGCAGCAGAGGCCTGGTTAGTGGGGCCTGGTGATGGGGATGTGATCAAGGAGGACCTGATGTGTGGGATCTGGTCAACAGGAACCTGGTCAGTGGAGGCTGCTGAGCACTGCTGACAGATTCCAGGTGCAATGCACATTATGGAGGGCCCTGTGGACAGCTGGGATGGCCCAGTGGTGCCCAATGGCCCAGTCAAAATTGGAAAAAGCAGGTATTTTGATGGGCCTGGGAGATCTTGCTCAGAAATTTTGACAGGACAAAGGTAAAGGAAGGGCCACAGTGGCCGGAGAGATGGTCACAGCCTATGTGCTGCACAGGATGGAGAAAGTCAGGGAACAGGCAGGGTGGACAGCTGGTATGCAGGGAGAGGTAGGGGCATGCTGGGAGGTCAGACCCTGTGAGGACTCTTGGGGCCTCAGATAGGGTGGGCTCCAGGTGCACCCTCAGTGCACTGGGCAGGTCTCAGCCCAGTCTCCCTAGACCCCAGCTGGGTGATGTGTTCATTCCCTGGGGATCCTGCAGAGAGCACAGCCTCCAGCCCAGGTGGTGCAGCTTGACCTCTCCATGGGCCTGGAGCATCCCCTGCTAGCCCTCCACTCCCTCTTCTCCCAGGTCCTGCTTTCCAGTGTCAGCCAGCAGGGAGGTCCTGTCCTCTCTTCCCTATGCGTCTTCTGGGGTGAAACTTGCAGTGGATTGGGAACAGGGATCGTGCTTCCCTCAGGCCCACTTAGGGAGGAGACTGGCGGGAGCCTATCACTGGTCCTCACCGCTGTTTTGGTTGCCTTTGAGTAAGATGGATCAGTAAGTGCCCTGAAGGTGAAGGCAAGAGACTCCCTGCTGTGTGGGAGGCTAGTCTAGGGATGGAGGACTTGACAGGTCTTCCCAGTCTGTCAAGCCTAGGCATCACTTTCCTGTCTCAGGACTCAGAAAGTCCAGTCCTGAGATGGGATGGTGCTGTCCAAGGTGGGTGGCCGGGGCCTGAGAGCAAGCCCCCATGAAGTGACCACATCACCCAGCTGGGGTCCAGGGAGCCTGGCCTGAGGCCTGCCCAGTGCAAAGGGTACACTTGGAGTCCACTCCACCTGATACTCTCACAGCCCTTGCAGGGTCTGGCCTCCCAGCTTGCACCTGACTCTCCCTGCACCCCACTGCCCACCCTGCCTGTTCCCTGACTTTCTTCATCCTGTCCAGCAGTATGGGTGGGACAGGAGAACAGCCTGTGTGCACGTGTGGTGGCAAGTAGGAGTAACACATCATCCCTGGGAAGCGCCATGTTTCCTGCCAAACCCAACCCCAAAACTCTGTCTCTGAGGCGGTTTTACCAAACCCAAAACCCAGAACCATGACTGTGGCTCAGGGGTCAGCACCTGCTAGTGCCAAGATACTACAGGGAGACTGGGACCTGACCAAAGCCCATGGTGTTTGTGACCTGAGTCTTGGGGCCATAAGGCCAGGCCACCAATGGCCATTGGGCCATAGGGGCTCAGCCCCAGGGCTTGTCCTTCTTTGGCTCCTTCTGATTCAGTCTTCTCAGGGCCCTGGAGCCCAATACCCAGCATCCAAGGTCCCCTCTAGGAATCCTGGCGGCTCGGCTTACTATATCATGTTTCATCTGAAAGCAAAAATGTGAGGCTGGATGCACAGAAAGATGACTCGGAGTGCTTAATGACTAGAAGAAATCTAACAGCAGCCAGAAGGTAATGTGGGGAGGGTTGGACCTCCATGACAGGTAGAGCCAGGAGTACAGGCACCCAGTGCTGTGGCCTGGCACCACCTGCCTCTCAGAGGGTAGGTGGCACACTGTCCTTATGTGGAGGACAGCAGGCGTGGCCACCTGACCTAAATAAAAAAAAGGTCCAGATCAGAGTTCCCAACTCTGAGTACTTACCCACTCTCCGAATCATGGGAGGGGAGGCCTGGTCCTAGGTAGACCTGAGCTCTGAGTAACTGCGGAGCCCAAGGCTGGAAACCTCCAGAATTCTCTAGCCCCTGATCCTCCCTGGGGTCCCACTGTGGCCTATCTTACCAGAGCACTCTTCTGTGTGTAGGTGTCTTGGTAGCTCTACAAGGGAGTCCTCTTTCAGGTGTGGGCTGGGGATGGTCACTCCTGCTGGTTGTCTAAAAGGTGGAAACCAAGGACCTAGGGAAATACCAGGAACAGCCTTTTGACACTCATCCAGAGCAGGACGAACAGGCAAGTGTTATCAGGAGCCCAGGTCTCCAGGTGGAGGGAATGTCAACCCTGCAGTAGAAGTAGAGGCCCCTCACACATCCTAGGCACAGATGGTAATGTAGGCACCGCAGGTAAGCTGGGCTTGGTACCCCTCTCTGGCTTCAGAAAGAGGTCAAACGAGAAGCTTTATACAGAATAAACCTTTCCTTCCAGAAGCACTGCTGTCTGGTGGTTGCCATTTGTGGCAGTGAGACTTTTACTTGTTCTGAGGCTGGGCTGGTTTCTCCTCTTAGTCCTGCCCCACAGACCATAAAGAAGAACAGCAAGAGGTTCCCAGAAAACATCCACAAATGGCCCTGGACGTAAGCTACACTCTGAGAAATATGTCATGCTCCAGGTGAGCTAAGGCATCAGGTAAGGCCTATGAGGCTGGAGGATCCCAGGGCAGGTGGTGCAATCCATAGCTGTGGAAGCTTCCCATGGGAATTGGGAGGTCCCAAGGCAGAGAAAGGGATTCCACAGGAGAATCACAGAGAAGTCACAGAGCCACCAGGGGCTCTCCTGGCCCAGGGAGCAGTCAACACCATGGACTGAACACCTGCTGGGCTCCAAGCCCTGGGCCAGGCTGGGCCTGTGGGGCCAGGAGGCAGCTCAGAGTGGAAGTCAGAGAGAGAAGTGTGCTCAGAGGGCACTCGTTTCTGGATGTAATGTGGTCCTGGGATTCTGTCTGGGAAGTGCTTCCAGGGTTTCATATGTGTTATGGCGCTACTTCCTCTCCCCAGCCTCACCCTGCAGGAATTCCAGTGAATATATTGCCACCATCTTGAATCTCAGTGCCCTCATAGTGCAATGGCACCAGCAGATCTGCCTGTGCATGGACTTTCTGTACTACCTACTCCTGAGGGCTGATGCTTCTGCAGGGCTTATGACTGACTTGGTACACAACTTCAGATGCCATCATCCTGGAGCAGCACTGCGCCCTCACTAGCCAGGGTGTTGATGACTTCCTCAAGGCCAAGGCCACGTTCTAGACTTTGGACTTCATTGATGCACTTGTGCTGAGCGAGGTGGGCTTCTCTGGTATCTTAATTCAGGAGGTAGAATGGAGCTTGAGATCAAGTGTCTGATCAAAGAACTTGAACTTGATCTGGAGGGCTCTGGGGGAGCCATGAAAGGTGCTGGATAATGAACTTGATCTGGAGGGCTCTGGGGGAGCCATGAAAGATGCTGGATAAAGGAGGGACAGCCAGATACATTTTAGAGATGACTGTAGAAGGCTGCCTGGAAGGAATGAACAAGAGCCAGGAGACCAGGGAGGGTGCTTGTGGGGCAGGTCTGGAGATGGCAAGGGAGGAATCCTGCCTGGATGACTTCAGGGACTGTCTCAGGTTACACTCAGGTGCCCTCAGAGCTAGTGCTTTCAGAGGGCTTGTCTCCAGGATGAAAATGGGAAGGAGTTGTCAGAAGAGGATATATAAATGGAGGCTGGCATCTTCATAAGCGCCAGTGGTAATCCCGGTGTGGGAATACTGTGGGAACAGGGGTATCTTGATCCCAGGGACATGGTGGATACACCCTACATTACTCCATTCTGCCCATGCTCGCTTGTTTGCTTGCTTTCCTTCCTTTTTCTTTTTCTTTCTTTTCTCTTTTTCTTTTTCTTTTCTCTCATAGGAGAGAAGGCTTTTTGTGCAGATGCCCAGGACAATTTGCACAAAAAAGAGAATGATTTATCACTGAGCCCAGCACACAGATAATGTGACTCTCCTGCCAATTCCTTGCCCTCATAAATAATTGTGACATATCCCTAGAGAACGGCCAAGTAATATGATTTCTCCTGCTTGCTCCCTAGCTGCAAGTAGGATTGTGACATATATCTTAGCGAAGTTTACAGGTGTGACGATGACTTTTATTCCTCAAACCAGCCAATATGGATAATACTGTGAGCATTCTCTTTGTTCGAAGGTAATAGAGGGTTACCACTTTATTGCATATCATTTAAAAACCTTGGGTGGAACAGAGTGTCAATACAAAGCCCAGCACAGAGGTGAAATTGTGTTTTACATACACACACCCTGCCAACCATTTCATTCATTACATTCACACGTGAGCCACGCCCTCTGACGAAGTTTTAAATCTCACACGGGAATGCAGCTTACAATTGGAATGATGACTTTCATATACGAAGATATGGCCACACTTGGAATGGTAACTCATTTCTTTTTTTCTTTTTTTTTTTTCAGGAACTGCCAAAGTTTTAGTGTTTAATAATGAATAGCACAACTGACCAAGGTGCAAGATGTAAAGATACCATGTTCAAGAAACTGGGGGGTAAATCACTCTATAAACTAACTATATAGTATGTGATAGGAATGCATACTTTATAATATAAAACCTGTCTACACATAGTAGTTAGCTGAAAAAGCCATTCAATCTTCTCTTGGCTTGGAAAGATGGTGTTCGAAATTCCAGTACATATTATTAGCAACCTTCAACTCGTGTGTGGCAGATATTTTGTTTTCACCTTCCAGTTCTTCAACCCCAGCCTGTGTCATGAGGTCTGCGATGTTCTTCTCCAGATCGTCAGTGCGACTACTCGTATCATTAATTCTCCCAATCTGCTCCTGCAGCAGATGCAGGTCTGAAATTTATCTTGCATCTGCTGCCGGAGTATCTGCACCACCAAGCTGAGGTCCTGCATGGTCTTGGGGTCAGTCTCAGCCATCTCCCCGATGCCCAGCTTGGCAGTCTGGTAACTCATTTCTAAATCCACTCATAGGCGGGACTCTCCTATCTGGACCGAGCTAACTGGAGTTATGTTGACTCCCATATCTTGGCTTAGGGCTACAGGTACCATCACTGATCCATTCCAGCATGAATTTCTAAGCGTGAATTGTGACACTAATGCACACTGTATAATGCCATCAGTTGGCACAGAGAATGTTTTCACAGGGCCCAGCAGACACGTGAGATTGTGACACTCATATGAACACAAAGCTGAAAGTAAAGATGATCAACCTCCTACATCAACATAGTGCACTCTGAATCTCACACCCAGAGGCAGTCAGAAGATTTTTTTTAAAAAGGCTGTTGTAGATAAATGTGGTCCACAGGTGGATTGGTGTCTCTCAGACCAGAATTCAGCACTCCAAGAAGGCTGGGACTTCACTAAGTAAACACAGTCTGCAATAGAAATTGAGACTCTGATGCATAGATCCGGTTCACTGATGAATAGATCCGGTTCACTGATGAATAGATCCGGTTCACTGATGGGATTGTGCCTCATGTAGCTGGTCCCAACATTCAGGATGTGTTGACTCCCATACCTAAACTGGGAGATGTGCAGGTTGTTCATCTCATCCCTGGACCTTCCTGCTGGTGCGATTGTGACATATCATGTGCCCAGCACCCAGCATGATTTGAGTCTCCCACCTGAACCCAGCCCACAGATGAAATTGTGACATATCACTGGACCCAGAACCTAGGTGATGTTACTCGTTTCTTCTGCCTTGGCCCTGCATACATGGAGCACATGTTTCTAGACCCTGCACTCAGCACTCAGGTTATATGTCTCTTCTACCTGTGCCCAGATTGTATGGGTCATTGTGACATATTTTTTGGTATGAGAATAATATTTCTTAGTTATTCACCTAGGTGATGTGACTCTCCTTTTCTGCCTGAGCACTGCACACAGCTGACATTGTGACACTGATACGCACACCCAACAAGCAGTATAGACTCCTCATCCCACATGAACACAGCCGGCTGTTGAGGTTGAGTCTCCTACCCAAAGCCAGCCAAAAGTTGCCTGGGGTCTGCCTGCAGGGAGCATTTTGACATATCTATGTGCCAATTGCACAGGTAATGTGAACCTTTTCTACTGCCTGGTTTCTGCTCACAGGGAAGATTATGACTTATCAGTGGGCCAACATCTAATTGATGTGACTTTTTCTGAGGTTCTGCCTACAGGGGAGATTGTGACATATTGCGGGGCTTGGCACCAAGGTGATTTGAGACTTCTGCCTGGATTCTGCCTTGTAGGGACATTGCGGCGTAGCTCTGAGCCGATCACCTAGATAATGTGACTTTCCTCCTTTCTTATGTGAACTGTGCCCATGGAATAGATTGTGGCATATCTCTAGGACCAGTTTCATTAAAAGCAAACAAACAAAAAAACAAATAACAAAAAAGGCAGTTACTTATGACTGGCCCCAGCACACAGGTGACGGGGGGCATGGAGACATTTCTCTGGGCCCATCATCTAGATGATGTGACTCTTTTCTTCATAGGACACGTCCACGTGAGGAATGTGACATATTGCTGGGCCCAGCATCTATGTGATGCATCACACCTCTCATGCCTGTCTCTTTCAACTGGAGTGATTGACATGAAGCTGGCCCAACTCCTAAGTTATGTGACTTTTTTTTTCCTTCTGAGCCCTACCCACAAGGGGACATTGCAACATATGTTTGAGTCCCTCACCTAGGTGGTGTGACTTTCATGAGTGAGCCATCCACTCAGTGGGTATTGTGACACATTTTTGCACACAGCACTGAGATGATGTGACTCTCCTCTACTGCTTGGGCTCTCCCCAAGGAGGCATTGTGCTGTATCACTGGGTCCAGCACCTAGGTTATTTGACTTCCCTCTACTGCCTGGGCCCTGCATACATTGTGCATTGTGACATACGGCTGTGTCTAAAACATAAGGGATGCAACTCTCCTCCGTCGGCTTTGCCCATACAAGTATAGAAAAGGTTAATGAAAGAGAATAAAATTTCTCAATTATTCACCTAGGTGATGTGACTCTCTTTTCTGTCTGAGCACTGCACACAGCTGAGATTGTGACACAGACAGGCACACCCAGCCAGCAGTATAGACTCATCACCCCCCATGAACACAGTGGACTGTTGAGGTTCTGAGTCTCACGCCCAAAGCCAGTCAGAAGTTGTGGATTGACTCATATGCAGATTTTCCTCACATTTGGGTTTCTGACTATCCAACCAACATTCATCAAACCTGTGAGGCTGTCACTCTACTAAGAAGGCAGTGCACAGGACAGATTGGTGCTGTCATGCATGGATCCAGTATACCATTGAGATCGTGACTCATGGACTTATGCCCAACATGACATTTCACTGGACCTAGTACCAAGCTGATATCACTCCTCCATTATCTAGTTTCTGACTCCAGAGAAGATTGTGAAATATTGCTGGGGACTTTCACCTAGTTGATGTGACTATCTTACCTGTGCTTCTTTCTCAAGGGGTATAGTGACATATTGCTTGACCCAGCACCTAGGTGATGTGACTCTTTTCTGTTCCTAGGGCTCTGCCTAAAACAGGATTGTGTTGTATTATAGGGCTCTGCACCAAGGTGACAAAACTGTTAGCTGTGTCTGTGTATCAGTCATCTCACCCTGTATAAAACTCTGAACCACCAGGGTACACTATACAATACGCATAAGTTTAATAATCTGTGGTGACTTTCATACAGGTAGGAGACCCAGGACCCTAGAAGTTTTCTTAAGCCTAACTATAAGGGTCAGCATGTTTTTGGTTTTGTTGGTTTCTTTGTTCTTAATTGGCTGGGTCCAGTAATGAGAGTCATCACTGTGCCTGTGAACTACCATCCCTCCTGTGACTAGATCTACATAGGGCAGTCAAAGTTCCAACTGTGGACTGTGTCCATGTACAAGACTCAGGACCTCACCAGAGGTCTCTGTTCATGTGTGGGGGTGACACTCATAACTGTTGGCTGGATGAGCGTACAAGAGTCACTTCCCATCTCCTCTGTGTGCTGAGTGCACTTATATGTCCAAATCCCACTTGTGGTGACATGGGTCACCATCCGCCCTTTAAATTAAAATTAAAATGTAAAGGGGGGATGGTGACCCATGTCACCACAAGAGGGATTTTGTGAGAAGTGACACAACATTAAAAATACAACTGTGGGGGCCGGGTGCGGTGGCTCACGCCTATAATCCCAGCACTTTGGGAGACCGAGACGGGTGGATCACGAGGTCAAGAGATCGAGACTATCCTGGTCAACATGGTGAAACCCCGTCTCTACTAAAAATACAAAAATTAGCTGGGCATGGTGGTGCACGCCTGTAGTCCCAGCTACTCAGGAGGCTGAGGCAGGAGAATTGCTTAAACCCAGGAGGCGGAGGTTGCGGTGAGCCGAGATCGCGCCGTTGCACTCCAGCCTGGGTAACAAGAGCGAAAACTCTGTCTCAAAAAAAAAAAAAATCCAACTGTGGATTGCATCTGTGAGTAAAATTCAGGACCTCACCAGTGGGTTCTGTCCATGTGTGTGAATGAGTTCTTACTGTTGGCTGAGTGTGCATGTGAGAGTCACAGTCTCCACTTTGTGCTGAGTTATATAATGACATTCTCTTTACAACCCTTGGGGCATTATACATTATAAATGAGTGAGATAATCCTCTGTGATGTTTATACAAGTAGAAAACCCAAAACCTTACCTGTTGACCTAAGCCTAGGTACAAGCGTCAACATATCTTTTATTGGCTGGGTTCACTGTGCAAGTGAGTTGGGTTCAGGAATTTGTTACCATCCAACCAGGCTGGATCCACATATGACGGTCACAATTTCAATGGTGGAATAGGCTCATGTGTAAGATTTAGAACCTCACTATAGGCTCCGCCTATGTATGAGCATGGCAATTCAAACTGTTGGCTAGGTGTGTATAGGAGAGTCACCATCTCACCTGGGAACTGGGCCCTGTAATGATGCTCTGTATTTCCCAAGAGATTTATGCAACATACAAGAGTGTCATAATCTTCTGTTACCTTCCTACAGTTAAAGAGCTACCAGAGTCAACATCTTTCTTACTAGCTGGGTCCAGGCATGAGAGCCATCACCATCCCTGTGAGCTGAATCCAGAATGAGTCACCATCTCACTTCTGGTAAGACATACACATGACAGTCCCAATTCTAACTCTTGGCTGTGTTCATATATGAGATTTAGGACCTCAACAGTGGTCTTTGTTCATGTGTAATAGTGACAATAGTAACTTTTGGCTGGGTTTGCATACAAGAGTAAAAATCTCATCTGTGTGCTGGGCTGAGTTATATGTCACAATCTTACCTTTGGGAAAGGCTGAGAAATAAGAGTAACATTACCTTGATTCTTCACCCGGAGTATGTCTCAATCCCCTCTAAGGGCAAGGCCCAGGCAGAAGAGTCATATAAGTTGTGTTCAGGGCCCAGTGACATATCATAATAATTCCTCTAGACAGAGCCCAGTCAGGAAAGTCATGATATTTGGGTGCCGGGCCAAGAGATGCGTCACAGGGGCCTAAAGAATCTTTTTATAGGCATGTCTTGGGCAGCAGAGAAGAGGCACATTATGTAGAAAATTAGTTCAGAGATATGTCACAATGTCCCCTTTGGGTGACATGCAGGCAGGTGAGGAGGGTCACATCATCTAGATAATGGACCCCGCAATATGTCACAATACCCCCTGATGGAAAGGCAAATAAAAGAAAGTCATATAACCAAGGTGAGTAAACCAGAGATTTCACAATGCATGCTATAATTTCACAATGCATCCTCTTTCCTCATGGAAAAGAGGAGCATCATATAACCCAGGGGCTACACCAGATACATGTCACAATCACCTCAGTGGGCAGGGCCTAGACATGAGAGGAGAGTCACATCACACAAACGGTAAGCCAAGTGATATGCTGCAACTCCCACTGTGGATGGGTCCAAGAAAAAAAGAAAAAAAGTCACATCATCTACATGTTGGGGCCACAGATATATATCAATGTTTCCTGTAAGTATTGCCCAGGCAGAAGAGGCAAGTCAAGTCACTTGGGTGCAGAACTGAGCGATATGTCACAATGTCTTCTATAGGCAAAGCTCAGGTGAAAAAGGGGGGTCACATAAAATAGTTGATAGGCACAGAGATATGTCACAATTCCCCTGTAAGCAGAGTCCAGGCATGAAGACTCAAACCACTTTTGTACTGAGCCCAGCAATATGTCACAATGACTTTTGAGAGCAAGATCAAATCAAGACAAGAATGTCACTTTATCTGGCCTAACAATATGTCACTATCGTTTATGTGAGCAGAACATAGGAAAAAGAGACAAGTCACATCAGCTGGGTGCTGAGCCCAGAGGCACATCTCAATCCCCCCATTAACAGAAATCATGCAGAAGAGAGTCAAAACACATGGGTATGCCCGGG